AATCCTGAGCCTGTCCAAAGAAAGCCTGTGGAAACTAGTTCCACAGGTAAACAAACCATCAAAAGGTTTTCCCAAGATGCTGGAAAGGGACAGACTAAAGGTGTGGGGCGGACCTTAACCACAGGTGCTGCCAAACACCTAATGAAGTAACTTGTCAACCTGAAGAACTGGATACCCTAATCCAATGGAATTGTCAGGGAATTCATGCAAAATGGGAAGAACTGCAACATCTGATAGCTTCTTGTAATCCAGTTTGTGTATGCCTACAAGAGATTATGATCAGGGAAAATCGTTTAATTTCCCTGAGAGGATTCCAAGTTCAAGCCCATTATGGGACCTTTGATAATGGACCTCATGGAGGAGTAGCAGTGATGGTACGTCAAGATATTCCCTTCCAGGCCATCCACCTTCAGACGACACTGCAGGTGAAGGCCGTGAGAATAGGCTTGACACGACCTTACACTGTTGCATCCATCTACCTCCCTCCACATAATCTTAACATAGATGATTTGGAAGATTTACTTGGACAGTTGCCTCATCTATTTCTACTCTTGGGAGACTTCAATGGTCGCCATCACCTCTGGGGAGACACTTTGTGCAATCCTCGAGGAAGGGCCTTGGAGTCTTTATTCTCAAGAGTAGATGCAGTTTTACTGAACAGTGATGCACCCACACATTTCCATATTCAAACTGGGACATTCTCCAATATTGACTTGTCAGTTGGCTCACCTGATTCCCAGTTGAATTTCACTTGGCAGGTCATGGAAGACTTACACGGAAGTGACCACTTTCCAATACTTTTGGAAGAGGTGAATGGCATTCCAGCCATTGGAGTGCGGAGATGGCGACTTGAACATGCAGACTGGAATCTTTTTAAATCAACTGCAGTATTGCAAGGATCTGTGAATGATTTCCAGTGTGTTCAAGATGCTGTTAATCACTTCACATCGCGGATTCACCTTGCAGCAGAAGCATCAGTTCCCAGAAGTAGTGGGCAGTACCGTCGACCTCCGGTACCATGGTGGTCTGATGAATGCCAACAAGCTGTCAGAGCAAGAAAAGCTGCATTAAGGCAGTTGAAACGACGCCCAAGCGATGTAACCTTGATCCAGTACAAAAAGACCAGAGCCAAGGCCAGGCGAGTGCTAAAGGAGGCTAGACGGACATCATGGAGGCAGTATGTCTCCTTGATTAACTCTGGGACCCCCCTTAGCATGGGTATGGGACAAGGTGCGTAAGATCGCTGGAAAGAGCACATCCATATCACCCCCTGCTCTGAAAATAGATGGCATAATCCTCACAGACAAAACAGATGTTGCAAATGAACTGGCAAAATCCATGGCAGAGATCTCGTCTGGAGCATCTTACACTGCCCGTTTCTCCACTCTTCGGGCTGAACAGGAACGACACCCACTGTCGTTTTTCAGTAGCACTGCAGCAGAACTTCCATACAACTTGCCATTTTTGCGCAAGGAGATGGACTCTGCTTTGCAGCTCTGCCGTAAGACTGCCCCAGGAAGTGACGGTATTCCATACCAAATGATATCTCACTTACCAAAGAGCTCCCAAACGTTCCTGTTGGATCTATTCAATAGGATCTACAGGGAGGGAACAGTGCCATCCACATGGAAAGAAGCTATAATCATTCCTGTCCCTAAACCTGGCAAGGATGCTTCCATACCAGGGAATTATAGACCAATTTCTCTCACCAGCTGTATCTGCAAGTTGATGGAGAAAATGGTAAACTTCAGGTTGACATGGCTGCTAGAAAAAAAAAACGTGTTGACCCCATATCAATATGGGTTTAGAAAACTGAGATCGACCACAGATGCACTTGTGAGGATGGAAACTGCTATACAGAATTCCTTCACACAGCGACGCCATATGTTAGCAGTCTTCTTTGATCTTGAAAAGGCTTATGATACGACTTGGAAGCATGGCATACTCATGAAGCTGTATGACATTGGTTTAAGAGGAGCACTGCCAACCTTCATACAAAGCTTTCTTGCTAACAGTAAGTTTAGAGTGAGGGTAGGAAACAGCTTCTCTAACCTGGAAGATCAGCTGGAAGGGGTCCCACAGGGAAGTGTCTTAAGTGTGACCCTGTTTGCCATTGCTATAAATGACATCGTAAAGGTCGTTCCAAGTGCTGTCTCATGTAGTCTGTATGTGGATGACTTTACACTATACTGCTCAGGAGGAAGCTTACAGGATGTGCAAGGACACATGCAGACTGCAATAAATCAGGTTGTGCAATGGGCAACATACCATGGCTTCAAATTTTCTCCAAGCAAGACCATGGCTATGCATTTCCACAAACGAGGAAAGTTTCACCCTTCGCTCTATTTAGGAGCAAACCCACTACATTTTGCCCAACAGATAAAGTACTTGGGTCTATTTTTTGACTCAAAGCTTACATGGGTGCCTCATATTAAACAGTTAAAGGTGAAAGCTACAAAAGCGCTTAGTATTTTGCGGGTTCTTTCACACCTATCTTGGGGTGCAGACCGCACAACGCTTCTGCGACTTTACCGAGCACTTATTCGTAGTAAACTCGACTATGGATGTGAGGCATATTCATCTGCAACTCCCACTGTTCTTCGGATGTTGGACTCGGTTCATAATGAAGCTCTGAGAATCTGTATAGGGGCTTTCAGGTCTTCACCTGTGGAGTCCCTGTATGCTGAGAGTGGAGAACCACCTCTTTCATTACACCGGGACTACATGAACCTGATTTATTACACGAGACTACAAAGGATTCCGGGATCTCCTACATCCAGATTGGTTTTCAACCTCCTTGAGGATAGCCGATCCTATGGTAGGAGAATGAGGAATCTTGTGGAAGATCTTAATTTAAATCTCACAAAGGTTCTGGCTGTTGGAACTTCCCAAGTCCCCCCTTGGACTAATCAAGTCGAGCTTGATTTGGTCAGAATTGGGAAAGGGGAGAGATCCGAAGCAGAAGTCAGAGAGATATTTCTTCAACACACTTCTAAGTACCAGGGATCATATGCAATATATACAGATGGTTCGAAATCTGAAAATGGTGTGGGCTTTGCAGCAGTGAGCAGAAGGAAGACTGCATCTGGCAGTCTTTCTCGATCAGCCTCGATTTTCACTGCAGAGTTACATGCCATCCTTGCAGCAGTCAAGATGACTAGAGATCTTACAAACCATTCTGTTGTAATATATTGTGACTCTCGTAGTGCCTTGCAAGCAATCAAGAGCTTAAACTCATCACATCCAGTGGTGAGGGAAGTTCAAGATTGGCTTGCACTGATGTCAGCACGTAAAAAGATAACTCTGTGTTGGGTGCCAGCACATGTTGGTATCAGTGGGAATGAGCGAGCTGATCAGAAGGCCAAGGCAGCTGCCGCTCAGCCTTGTGATGCTCGTTTTCCTCTCCCACACACTGACTTGAAACCCAGCATCAGAAGTTGTCTTCGTGATGAATGGAGGGAACAATGGAGGCATACCTCTAGAAATAAGCTACGAGAGATTAGAGATGACCTTGGCAGTTGGGTGACCAGCATCCATCATAACCGACAGTTGGAAGTTGTATTAACAAGGCTGAGAATTGGGCACACAAGACTGACTCATGGGCCGATGATGGCTAAGAGTGAAGCACGCTGTGAGGGATGCCAAGAGCCATTGACGGTCGCGCATATGGTGGAGAGATGTGCAACATTCTTAGACCAAAGACGAAGGAACTTGTCTCCCCCATATACATTGAAAAATGTTTTGGGGGAGGATTGTGACATAGAAGGTCTTATTAGTTTCCTTAGGGAAACTAATATTTTCAATAGAAATTTAATTATGCATAATGTTTATGCAATAGTTTTTTTTTTTTTTTTTTATTTAGAGCATAATATTTATGCTTTGGTTTTTAATATAATATTTATTGTTATTTATGACATTTATTGATAAATTTCTAACGTTTTAAATATTTTAATGTTTCAACCTAACAAGGTGTTCGCCGCTAATGACCTTAGCTGTTGACGCGGCAGATAATTTTAAATAATCAATCTTCGTCTGTGTTTATACGTCGTCTTACAACTTCCGTTTATATGTATATATACACATATATATGTATATACATATGTGTATACATATATATTTCTATGACTGTATATAAATACATGATTATGTTCAAGATGTGTGATATTGCACCAAATAAAATGTATGGGCTCTCTCATAGATATACAATGAGGAAGGAAATAAGATTATTTCTGAACCTAATTTATTTCACATTTATTGATTACATCCATGAGATTCACAGAAAATAAGTATCATATATAAAATGACTAAATGGTTCTTCAATCAACAGATATTAGTCTATCGAGCCTCCTGGTAGCTTAAATTGAAGATGTAGAACTTTCTTAAAATCAAAGACTGGTAAGAAACATTCCAATAAAACTCAATGAAAATGTTGAATCAGAAATGAATCCCAACGAACTGCTGTGTATTCATGGCTTCAGTGAAACTATTACAATTATATTGATTAATATAAATACGTATATTCCTCTTAGCCTAGAAAAGTGGTCTTAACATCTTTACCTTTAAGAATGTGATGAAAGCTATGGATCCCCTTCCCGAAATATAGTCATATAAACAAAACTTTGCCTGGAATGTGTATAATGCACTTTATTTATTTCGATTTGACTGTCTCATGCATATATGGGATATACAAAGTAGTAAGGGACTTTAAAGTAAAGATCCTAAAAAAATCACTCCTTCTTATGAAAATACTATAGCGAATATTAATGTTATTTTTTATCAGATCCTCACAGACCCAAACATCTGGCAAATCACTCGAACCCTCGGGTACGCCGAATCACAAAGTCGCTTTTATTCTAATCTGACTTAATACTTGTGCCTACATATGCAGAAGCGGCACTTTATACATATGTATGAATAAAACACTATATAAAGTACATAAAATAAAATCAACTAAAAAGTAGAAATAAATAATACGATATGTGTTTATATATACATATATATCTATCTATATATATGTATGTATACACAATACATATACATATATACATATATATCTCTATAAATACGTACATGTATACATATATACATATAAATATAAATATATATATACACAAAATATACATATAAATACATATATATGTATATGAAGATATGTATATGTATCCACATGCATATATGTAGGAAAATCTTTTAACACCTTGGTGCCGGGTATGACGTGTACGTACGTTCCATGCCCACAGTGAGTACTTGTTTGATTGTTTTTATGCATAGATGGCAACACTTGTACTAACTCCCCAATGAGCCAGGTACGAGCACCGCCCGTCTCGCCCGTTTACCCGTTTCTTTGATTTACAAAATATTTTACGTAATCTTATTTTGCTGTTACTAATGTTTAAAAAAAATTATAAAAATTATAATGTTTATCATAAAAATAACACCATCGATTTTCATAGCACTAGTGAAAAATACGTTTTTCCCGCCATTTAAATCAGGCACTAGCAGAGCCATCTATCGGCAGACCTTTTACGAAAAACAAAGTGGGCACAATATTTTCCCCATTTTTTGTTCATTTTCCCCGGCACCATTGGGTTAAGAGCGCACCCATTGCGTATATGTAAATGTAAATGAATATGTATACACACACACACACACACATATATATATGTATATAAAATACAGGGGGGCGCTTACAAAAGATTTCCCTTGATCCCCTTCCGCTTATCCTGTTTCACATGCATAATGATACATATCTCTATGGGTTATGTTTTAATGTCCAGTCCTTAATTCATAGCATATTTCTATACTTGAAAGATGAAATGATGGCAACTTAGGGAGAGGATGCCCCATCATATGACTTTGTTAAACATTGGCATCGCCGGTCTGGTGTGATCGGAGATCTATGGAAACGGATCCTGCGACAGGGCGACCCCAGTCTGTTATGGATGAGGGCACCATTCATCAAGTGGATACTACTAGTTTGGAAGACCTGACTTCCTTCCTAATATCTAATACCTTTGTTTGTATATCGTCAGACAGCATCTAGTCTCACTGACCATCAAAACCATAGATATCATTAATTGTTTCTTCTCCATAGTCCATGCTACCAGGATTTTCGTCCGTCATGGTCTCCTTGGCTAGAAAAAAGGTAGGACGAATTAGATAGGATGGAAGTAATAATAATAATGATAATAACGGTGATGATCATGATGATAATAATGATAATTATAATGATAATAGTAATGATAATTATAATGATAATAGTAATGATAATAGTTATGATAATAATGACAGTTAAGATAACAATAATGATGATAATAATAATGATAATGATTATAATAATAATGATAATGATTATGATAATAAAAAACACTGATACTAATGATGATGACGATGATGATGATGATAATAGTAATAATAACAATAATTATAACAATAGTAATAACGATAATAATATAGTACTAGTAATAATACTACCAATAAAAGTTATAATGACAATGATAGTAATAATGATAATATTAATAATAATAATAATAATGATAATAATAATAACAGAAATAATAGTGATAACAATAATGATAAGGATAATATAATGATAATGATAATAATAAAAATCAAGATGATAATAATAACATTGACATTAATGATAATAATCATGATAATAGTAATGATGGCGATGATGATGATAATGATGATAACAATGATAATAATAACAATAATAATAATAATAAAGATAATAAAGTAATAATAGCAATGATAACAGTGATAATAATAGCAATATTAATGATAGTAATAACGACAATAACATTAATGATAATTATGATAATAATGATAATAATAAAAATAATAATAACAATAATAATAATGATAGCAAGCAATAAATAGAATGACTAATTCTCGCACATATATAACTACCTGCGTAGTTATATATCCACTTAGTAAACAAAAGAACGTGAAGCAAAAATCCTCATTTGCATTTTAAAGATGTTCCGTTTATAGTGATAAGCTGTTGCCTCATAGACTCAAAGAAAAGTAAAAAGGCTGTTTTATTTACCTCTATTCAGTTCAAGCACATGAGAGGCAGGATAAGCTCGACTTCTGGACGAGTTTCTCTATTATGTAAAAAAAGGTAAACGTGATATATATATTTTTTTTCTTCCAATAGAGCTTGGTGATTTTTAAACTCATATTCATGTTAATAATGGGCATATCTTTGTATAAATTATGAGCAATTAAAGAAAATAAGTGGTGATTGAAACTGTAAATACAAACGGGATACATTACCCTTATACGCAGAAGGTAACAGAATAAAGCAATGGTTGTAATAATGAAGAAAGTCAGAAAAACATACAGGATTGCGTTGTTTCCACCACAGTTGCTTTTACCTGTAGAAATATCAAATAAGCATGAAATATCTTCAGGAGAGAAATATGCACTATACAACATATGTAAACTCCATGTGTTATTCTAAGTATCCTTCGTCTAATCTCGGGAATGAAGATAATTGTCTCTCTCCGGACTCTGTGTCACTCCGATTCGCTAAGTCTCTTTTTGGGAAAATAGGAAGTGGTGTTGAAGGCAGCAAATGTGATTACTAAACAAAAAGGAAATAAACGTCGGTATAAGTTTTAGAATTACAAAATCGATGTAAACGCTATTTAATTCTTCTTTCACCAAAGAACTTTAACGAATCAGAGTACTCCAGAGTGTTGGGTGAACTGACACATTTAACTTTCCTGAGACTGGACGCCCTAGAACTAAACTGGAAAATGTCCTCACACTCATTTTGGCTGCCCGTGCTCTGGTCTTGGTCCTGAAGATGAGTCCAGTCTCCCAGAATCTGCACAACCCAGGCCTTGCCTCCGTCAGATTTCATCTTCATCAAGCCATCTTTATTTGCATTGGTACTATTTACTGTTCTGAGAATGCGGCCATCAGCTCTCTGTTGGAGATGGGAATTTAGATATTTCCCTCTTATTCAACTCAGTTAAATCCAAGATCCTTGAATATTCACACTGGACCCACAGAGGCCAAAAATACATGTTTGTACCTTGATCTGCTGCGACTCGTAATCCAGTGTGATCTTGTGCTCCTCGTGAGCTGACAAGGCTTGACAGTCTTCCTTGTTCGTCTTGACCGCTGTCTGTTTTCCATCCCAACAAAGATTAAGGTTTTCTCCAAATATGGTCAAACTAACAGTCAGGTTCTCTTCTGGAATAACGGCAAAATGTTCCCTGGTGGAATTCCAGCGAGGGAAGTCGATCGAGGTGTCTGAGGTGAGCTCTTTATTTGGCAATCCTAAGAATCATTATAAAGGAAGTATGCTAGAGATAAATAAATACAAAAATGGATATCTATATTTACAAGCACATATAGATTCAAATATATAGATAT